CTGCCCTCCGCCCCGCCCCGCCCCGTCGCCGGCGCGGTCGTTTTCTCCTCGCTCGGGGTACACGGGTTACGCGCGCACGTACACGCGTCCCGAATTTCGAATGCAAGGAACGTCGGGCATGCCCTTGGCAAGATTAATCGCCACTACCTTATGGTCAGTTGGCCGCGAGCCCGACTAGAAAAGAGGAAGAGGGGACGAGCCGCGGCGCGCAGCTTCGAAAAGTGACGGGAAAGACGCGCGATGGCAGATGACGGATCGCCGCCGCATCCTGGCTCGACGATCGGACGTCGCGACGGGCCGCGAGGACGTCGGGCGACGCCGACGGCGAGGCCGTCGGCCGAGGGGGTCGTCGCTCTGCGCGACGCAACTGGAAGTGAGGATGAAAACAAAAGAGCCCTTTTAAATCGACCGCGACCTAAAATTTTACCGATTGTCTCGTTTCAATATTAAAACTGAACTTGAATTAACTTGGTGTTAATCGTTAAAATGATAGAGTAAGGGCGATGTGAGCCGTCACCTGAACTTAGGTGATAAAATTATATGTCAGTAAGAATTAAAGTAAGATATAAAAATTGGTAACAGTTATGATACATTGCAGAACATTTCGGTCAGCGTACGTGACCCTCTTCAGCCGTAAATTCTCGTTTCAATTGGAGGCAAACGCGCATCGGAGTGTCTCGTTTCGTCGATTTTAAACGGGTTTTACATCGTTCGATTTTTTCGGGCCTTATTTTGCCGGCCCTGAGCTAGGTTGATATGTTTTTTGTATTTCGGACTTTGACAATTTCTGTATCGTTTTCACGCACAACGAGCGCGATCTGTTTATCCCGTTCAATTTTCCCCCGCAACATTTTCGGTCTAATACGTCAAATCGCGATACGAGCGGGTGAAAGAGCTGTACGCCCGCAGAAGGTAAATTGTCTAGGGGCAACGTGGCAGCGCGTGTCTACCGACGTCGGGAATTAATTCATCATTTAGCCTAACGAAGGGAATAACTAGTTGTAGCGGATGAGGTGGACGCGCGTAATAATGCGATGTCAGATAAGACGAGGACGAGCGATGAGCACGTTGTCGGCGCTGGAAATCGTTCCTCCGATTGTTTTTTTTTTTTCACGCACCTGGCACGACACTTGCAGACGGCGTCGCGTCCCGCTGTTATTACCGCCACAAAGTAAAAGCGAATGTAAAAAGTAACGAAGCGCAAACGTGTCGCTCTTTTTCGAATACGCCACTCTTCGTACGTTGATAGAAACGCGAAACTTGGGACGTTCGAAGCGAGTACTCGAAAACTTTTTTTACGGATGTAATTCCGAAAACCTTGAGAAGGAGTGAGAACAAGATCGGCACAATTTTCTTTTCGCATTCGATCTTGGTCACAAAGCAGGTACCAAACGAGAGGTCTCGTCAAGCTGATTACAGACATGTCAGTCTCAGAGTGTAGCTATTTAACGTCCCAGAGATATCGGGCTCCAAAAATTCCAGAACCGAGTCGGAGTAGACTAAGAGGTTTCCCGATGGTCGATGCTAATGACATCGTCCTGCATTTTCTATGAACCTAAGTAAATTTTAGATGGATCAAGTGAATTATTACCTGGGATTCTTTTATTCTGTACAATCTAACCAATAGGTTCGGTCAAAAGCATTCATAACGCCATTTTTCAGCAGTGGAACCTTTGGAGCGGATACCACAGGTACACTCTGATATTGACATCGTACCCTGCATTTTCTATGAACCTTATAAGTAAGTTTTAGGTGAACCAAATGAATTATCATCTGGGACTCTGTTATTTTCCACAATCCAACCAATAAGTTCGTTCAAAAGCATTCCTAACGCCATTTCTCGGCACTGGAACTTTGGCGCGGACACCATAGGTGCACTCTAATATTGACATCGTCCTGCATTTTCCATGAATCTAAGTGAGTTTTAGGTGGATCAAGTAAATTATCACCTGGGGCTCTTTTATTTTCTACAATCTAACCAATAGGTTCGGTCAAAAGCATTCATAACGCCATTTTTCGGCACTGGAACCTTTGGAGCGGACACCGTAAGTACACTCCGATATTGAAATATCTGTAATCAGCATGGACGAGACCTATCGTCTGGCACCTGCTTTGTGACCAAAATCGAATACGAAGAAATGGGGCCATTTGCCTGTGGACTGTTCTAACTCTTTTGCAAAATCGTGCGTGCACGTCGGACCTGGGATACCTATCGCGGAAATGTTCGGGATGGACTCCGATCGGAATTAATCCGTGTCCCCTAGAAAACACGATAGAAATCTAGGAAATAATTGAACAATTCCGAACATCGCCATGATAGAGACCTGTCTCGCACGTCGACGTTTTCGAGACGCTGCCACGAAACGTATACATTTTTGCATATCCGCGCGTCGCGCCGCTCGTCGGTGGAAAACGCACGCGAAAGACAATGCATTCTGAAAGTAATGTCGCGAAGTCGCGCTGCACGTTCGCGTCGTCCTGGCTCATTTAACGCCGCAGATATGCTAGATCGATTACATTATCGGTGCCTCGAGTCATAATGTATTGCCGCGGCCGTGTACGCCAATCGCATTTTTCTTTCCACCGCGTTGGAGTCGCGCCGCGGGTACGCGGCGACGTTAACGTCGCTATTGTGATCACCCGATCGGGTGCGATCCGAATACCTTTCACGTTCGCGGATATCGACACGAGTCACGTTCCCGGGGCGACGGGTCTTTCGCAAAAACCGGGGAAATCGCCTCGCTTCTAGGCTAGAAACGAAACTCGGTTGCACTTTCGCCTCGGATCCTCGCGAAGGCAAGTTGAAGACGTCCACGTCACCAGCCCGGGTTAATCGCGAAAGACGTTCCGTAGCTCGACTGAAAACGCAACCTCGAGACACTCGACGAACGTTCATTCTCGCGAAACACTCGTAGACTATTCTCAGAACATTCCCATTCCCACCGAGGATAATCCCCCTTTTTTTATAAGTTTACCCCTTTGTGGGAACACCTTTCAACCGTTAGGTTATACCAACGTGATATCTCTAAAAATTCCTTGAAATTCACGCTCATAGCGAATTCGGCAGCTAGCGCTGAGTGCGCGCGGAAGCTTTGTTCAGTCTACACTTGTAGTCATCTCAAGTACATGTCCTCAAACTATTTAGCAACAAAAACGATCCCTACGATCATATTACTGACTAAGGGCCAGTTTCACAAACATCGGTTAACTGAACTAAGGTTCAGTCGACTCCCTATCTTTTTCCATCTTATTATTTAAGAAGAGACAGAGAATCCATTAACCTTCGGTTGGCAGTTGACCGATGTTTGTGAAACCGGCCCTGAGAAGCATTTCAACAAGTATTCAAGACGATCCTTAAATATCAGGATTGCCTGTAAACAAGCCTTAGCGCGCACTAGTGCAAGCTGCCGAATTCGCGATTAATCTTGATTAAACACCGAGACTCCCGGTTTCACTAACGTCGCTCAACTTTAAGCTTAGCTTAATTCGTTCCTAGTCTCCATCCAACTGTTACTTTAGAAAGAGCGAAACGAGAATTAAACCGAGATTAAAGTTAAGCGACGTTTGGTGAAACCACCGGGCCTGAATCCCAACACTAGGCGCTTAAACTCCTTCGAGCGTTCAATTTTATGAAATTTCTCTTAAAGGGGAAAATATGGGGGACGAGAACCTTGCGTTACATCACTAAGCACTCGTGTTAGCACGGAGCTTACAAGTTCTAAGGCTAATCCCGTCGTTGACGACGCGCATTGCGACGGGTCGGAGCACCGCGTAGCCGCGCGATTTCCGCGACTCCTCTCGCTCGCTCTCGCGAAATTCCCCATCGAAAAACAACAGATAGGCCACCGTCGGGCGATGGGCGACACTTTCGGCGACACTTGTCTCCCTCTTTCTCCCGAGTGGCATGAATATTATTGAGAAAACAATTAGCGGCCGATTGGTCGCGCACAATCAAATGTCGTGACATTAGTGCCAATCTTTATAATGGCACCGAGCGCTCGGCAAACAAGGTAATAAACTGTCTTTAATTAGCGGCATTTAATATCAATAGCGACGGGCCGCGTCGCTTTATCGTCGCGCGAATTAACAATGGCCGCCGCGTCTAATTATTGCGCAGTATCGCGGGGAGAAGAAAGGAAGACGCGAGAAACGAGAGCCTCTTCGAGGCGGCGGACGGAACGCGCAATATTTCATACGTCGGCCACTTCTTCCGTGCAGCCGTCGCGCGCTTTGACGTCCAGGCCGCGCGCGCGCGCGCGATCAGGATGTTGCGTAAGGCCCCGGCGCGAGACGAAACGGGGGCGACGTGAGTGACAAACGAGAGACTTCCAGCCCGTGTCACAAACGTGTCCTTCCGAAAAACGTGCGCGTTTCCGGCCGCGACAATGGCATCGCGCCAGAACGAGACGCGGCTCTCGCCCGTGTGCGTGCGCGAGCTTCTCGAAACGCCGGCCGATTATTATTACGTCGATTTCCGGCGGTTGGGGGAACGCGAGGCCGGCGGCTTTTGCCGCGCGTGAGAAGATACACGTCGAACTAGAGCAACGTTTACCGTGCCGGACGCGGTGAATCCGCGCGCGAATCGTCCCCCGTTTAAAGGGTAAAACGGCGTCGGCAGAGGCGCGTTCCGAGGGCCAGGTCGGAGGGTAAAAAGCCGCAGAAAGTGACGGGAAAAGTAAACGCGTCCGTAAAACCAAGCCGCCTAATGCCCGGCGCCAGCGAGTGCCGTCTCCCGCGGCCGAAATAAGCACCGTCGGCACGCAACAAGTTTGTTTGCAGTTGAGCTCATACGGTTATATTGTACGGCTCGTAAAAGTTGCCGGCTCTTTTCGCCCCCTCTGTCCGTCTTTCTCGTCGCAGGGACGTATTAATTAAGCGCGAGAGCACTTTCCTCGAGGAAAAGACACCTTTACGCGGGCGGCGAGATCGGCGCTCGTCGAGGCGCGAGCGGACCGATCGAGATCGCACTCTCGCTAAGGAACTCGCGCTCTCAGTCTCACCTGGCGGCGTGATACCGTGCGGGTTGAGGTGCGGATGATGGTGGCCGGCGAGTATCCCCTTGGTCTGAAGATGATGCACCGCCGTCGGCCCCGGCGAGCTGGTGGGCGGCAGATGCGCCGGATTGTAGAAGCCCGCCGCCGCCAGGGCGGCGGCGCTGAAGTAACTCGCGGCCGCCACCGCTGAGGACGGATGCGACAAGTCGCGCTGCTGGCCGCTCACGGGCAGGGGCGGCGGCGTCTCCGGCGCGGCGGCCGGGCTGCCGGGTCCGCCGGGCGGCGGGGAGGCGCTACCCTGCGACGACGAGCCGCCGAGGATGCCGGGCGGGTGAGTGCTCGCCGCGGTCAGCAGCGAGGAGACGCTAAAGTCCGTCGGCCGCGGCGCCGCCGGGGCCGGCAAGGGTCCGGTGATGTGGCCGTTCGGGTTGCTGGCGGGCGGCGTGCCGCCGCCGATCGAGCTTGCGAAGGGCGAGTGCTGATTCAGAGCCGTCGCTGACGCGGGGTACGCCATCCCAGGCCCCCCCGCCTCGGCCCGCGGCCCCGTGTTCGCACCCTCGACCACGTTAGCCTCCAATTCTCTGCCAAGTCTGTGTCGTCGTTGCCCGTCGACGTCCTTTGCGGAGGAGTCCTCCTCCTCCTCCACCACCACCTCCTCGGGCCGTGATCGCTGCTGCAGCGCGGAGGGTTGCGGAGTGCTGGCGCAGTGGGTACCCCTGCACGCTGTGTCTTGTTCGAATCTCATCGAGACGGGCGGGTGTGCCGAGTCGCGCGAGATTCCTCTTCGAGTGACTCAAACCTGCTCTCTCTCTCTCTTCCTCTGGCTCTCCGCCTCTCGTCTCGAATCGTTTGCGATTGCCGTCGGACGGACGCCGCACGTGTGTGCCTGGTCTCTACGCTCGGCGTTCGCGCTCGCGCTCGCTCCTCCGCATATCCCGCTCAAGACCGCGGGTCTTCGCGGTCCTCGCAGTGCCCGCGTTCCTTCGCGCCAATTTCCGGCCGCGGCTGGTCGCCGACGATCGTCTCGTCGAACGTCGCCAGAGATCGGCCGGTCGACATCTTACGAGCCTGTCGGCAGGACTCCGCTTTTTCACTCGCGGAGACGTGGGTCACGGCCGCCTTCGGGTGTCCAAGTCGGAGCGGTTACACTTGGGAGCGACACTCGCGAGCGGTCGCCTACGCCGACGCCGCGTGATAGATCTTGAGGATAAGAGTCACTCCCATGTCGAGACACTAGCCGCGAGTCACTCTAGGTCATGGCGCGCGGACCCGTCGCTCACTAATCACTCACTGATCACCGGGCTCGATCTCCCGCGTCTCTTTCCCCTCCGTCAACACGAAACCCCGCGGTTCGGACGAGCCGTCGACCGTCCCGGCAGGCTCGAGGACGAGCACGAGTCTTGGCGAGGAGAGACAGAGTCCAGTCGGACGCGTGGCGCGCGCGCGCAGGTCGACGCGCGTGCTCCACGATCAACGGTACGCGAGTCGGCGAGACGACGACGACGAGAGGACGAGGACGACAACGGATAAAGAGGAGCCAGGCTTATCTCCTCTCGGCGACCTCTCGGCGGTGTGACGATGTTCGGTCGGTCGGGGCTGTGAAGAGCGGACGAAAGGTGTTACTTGGGTGGCGCCGCGATGGTCACTGAGCAGCGCTAGGATTGACACCTACTCCGGGGGCTCACCCCCACACCTCCCGCGGAGGTGTTGGTGTGCTAAAGTCCCCGTCCGGATTCAGGGCGGTGTGTACGCGGCCGGTCGCGTGTATACGGGTGGTCCGCGGGTCTGTGTGCGTGCGTTAGTACCGTGCGTGTATACGGGACCGCGCGCGGTGTGCCTGCGCCGCGGAACGGACGCGGGAGGCGTGAATGCTGGAGGGCAGCGACGCGAAGACTGAAACCGTGCGGGGGCTCCTCCTCCCTTCCCCTACGACCGCCGCTGGCCGGGGAGTGGGGGAACCCCGGACTTCCCCGAGCGGCCGCGGGAGAGTGACGAGGACGAGGCGACGCGCGCGGACACTGACGAAACGAGGCGGCGTGAGGCGGTGGGGAGGGGAGAGGGTGAATTTCGCCGGCACCTTCGCCCCTACCCCGGACCTGCTCGGGCGATAATGAGCGCTCGTAGTCCGGATTGGCGTTCCGGCGCCAATCCGAGCGGCGTTGGACCCGACGCCTTTCCCGACGCTACTCGAGCCAGCGGCGGTCTCGCTCGCGCCCTCGCGCCCTCTCCCCGTCTCTCCTAGCCCGTTGGACTTATCCCCACCGCCACCCGACGTCACGTACACACACACGCGCGCGCCGCGACGCTCCTCGCTCGTCGTCGGTGAACTTGACGTCGCGCCCCCCACCACGGCGGCTCTAAGGGTGTTAACCGCGAGTACGCCCATTAACACCACCCCGCGTCACTGCCTTCCAACGAGGGCGGGGGCCATGGGGCGCGCGAGGAGGGGGACGCGCGCGCCCGACGTCGCGAGGTGTCGTTAGCGGAGCGAGCTCGGTTCTTCGCCGACTGAACGTTAACGCTCTCGCGTTTGACGCGAGAGAATTTTCGCGTCTGAATTGCCACGTCGGCCGACACCTCCCCGTCCACCGAATCGAAGAACAACGTTATCACTCCCGGATGCCGTTTCGCATTTCGCTTTGTCGCGACGATGGAAAAGTACCTTTTCAAAAAATCACTAGCCGATAAGTATTAGTCCTAGTCTACAATAGATGATTTAAGCCCTAAGCTTTAAGAAATTGGCCAATCACGGTCAAGTATGAGTAGAATGCGCGACTGTGATTAGTCAATTTCTTAAATGTCTATTGTAGACTGGGACTTACGGGATGACGGCTAGCTCTGTGCTAATACGAGTGATTAGGAATGGTAGGGCTCGATCCCGGTCCTCGTCCCGTGTAATTCCTGTTGAGCAAAATTTCGAAAATTTAACGCTTGAAGGAGTTTAAGCATTGGATTTTATGTTTAATCAAGATTAAGCACGAATTTCAAGGAATTTTTAGAGATATCACGCTGATCAAACCTAACGGTTGAAAGGCGTTCACACAGGAGAGTAAACTTAAAAAAAAAGATCGATAAGTATGTACATTTTATCTGATAACGATTGATACGACTGGAGACTCCTCGTTAAAAAACCAATAAAAATTGATTTCAACTGGAAAATTAATCGCTTACTTTTATTATTGGAACATCCTTAGCACTTTTTATTAATTAACCATGTTGCTCGAATAATCGAGTAATTTGCTCAACGTAAAAATACTTATCATATAAGCTGTACAACCTATAAGTTTATATTTGTACATTTAATTCACTTATCACCAAATCTCAACGTATGGCTCGAGCCATTAACTCTATTACGATAAAAGTATTAAAATTTATGTACTACAGATAAGCGAGTTTCGATTGCTTGAGCAATACGGGTAACATACGTAGCGGGTGCCCGTGTATTACTAGCATATTTTGAGTTTAACCAAGTATCCGGGTATCCAGGTATCATTAGCTCTAATTGCGACTACCATTACGTGTAGTTCGAACTCAGTGATAAAGGGTGTAGATCTTCAATCAATAACAGTGTGACATACGTGTCATGCAATATCATTACATCACCCGACTATTGTATTTTGCAATCCCGAAGCCGGAAAATTGCATAGATTCTCATTCGAGCGAACCAGGATGCACAAAATCGCATAACTCATCTCTGTAAAACCAAGTTTGGCGACGTTTCATCCGAGAGAGAAAAAAAATACACGTTTTCAACGCGCGCGCGCGCGAACCCGCGTGGCGAATGTACTTTATCATCACCGTAATGCAATACAATTGGCTACGTCGGGAATTCAGCGAGTTTTCCGCGAAATACCGCGAGTGAGAAGTTTTCGAGAGCCGTGCCAAAATTCGCACGGTGTAGCGTCACGAATCTCACCCTGTCTCGCCCCGTCCTTCTCGCTCGCGCTCGTACGCTCCTCGCCCGTTTTAGCGCGGCGGAGCGGCGACAGAGAGGAAACCCATAGCCACACCCCCTGTACCCCTACCGTTGCCGCGATCATCCCCGCCACGGTGTCACGTGACCCGATCCGTTCCCCTCTCACGCTCGCCGTCACCGTCGTCCGCCGTGCCCCCCCCCCCGTCTCGTCCCTCGACCGGGTGCCGCCCTTCACCCTTTCCTTCCAGCGAAACCTCTCCCGCTTTTTCTCTATCGTGAAACGCTCGACGCTCGTCCTTCGCGCCGCAGAGTGTTGCTGAGACGCCCAGAGCGTCACAGTGTTGCCAAATCCGCGAGAGCTTTTCTACCCGCGCGCGCGACTGGACTGGAATTATACATCCAGAATTACATTATTCGGGAGCGTCGTAAAGAGTGACCGTCAACGCTGAGACCGTCGATCGGGAGTCGTTCTTTTGTTGGCCCAGAGCAAAATTTTGTCTGCCGGGCCGTGATCCGGTTTAATCGTAATTATATGGCGAGAGAGAAACGCGAGAGGATTAAATGTCTGGAACAGAGGGGCGGGTCATGTTTCATTATTTATTGCTGCTGCAGTGAATTATTGGCAATGTGCACCTTTCCGTTGCACTTCTTGTAAACTCAATCCTCTTGATTTACACCGCAAGACAAAATAAATAATAACGCTTAAAAACTTGCGTCTCCAATTGCATTTCAAATTTTATACAGACGCACGTACTTGAGATATTTTTTAATGACGACTTGAATGCAACTTGTGAATGTTCACTTATACCCAATAATAATATGCAAATGCAACATAATAGTATTTTCATATAATTTATATTGCAGCCCATAGTTCCCAAACGCTAGTGTTGATATTAGTGTAATACTACGATTTGTGGATCTTTTAATATTTGATTTAAACGGCTTGTGTCCATACGTAAAAAAATCTTTCAAATTTTTACCTTTATATTTACTCGCGCGAGCTTAAATTTGTTCGTACTAAAACTTCCTTGTTTTGTTTATATCTGGAGTAGAAAATTAGACTCGAGCTGTTCATGTAACAATTGTTAACGCAACGTGTACGTCTGGACTATCCTCTTGACTGCACCTTATGCCAGTTCTCATTCGACTCCATCCTATTAGGTTACCGGATAGCTTATTCCGTACTTTTCGTTCTCTCTCTTTCCCCGGCCGATCTGAGGAAAATGTACCGGCGGCGATCGATGCCACTATATGTTAGCTATCGGATGGAGGCAGTGGAACATAAAGGAAACGAAATAAAGGAAAAAAACATAAAGCGGAAGGCGAGAGAAAGAGCGTCTAAAAATCCTACGGGTGCACATATATCGTGAAAAACCCAAGAGCGAGAAAGAGAAGGAGCTTAGTCGCCTTTTCGCGTGTCCGAGACGACGTGGTAGCGAGCGGCTGAGGCAAGAGCAAAGTTTGTCCTCGTCGGCGGGGAGAAGATAGAGGTATGAGACGGAAAAGGAGAGAGAGACAGAAAGAGAGAGAAAAAAAATCCAGCCACCGAGAGCGCCGCGATACGCAGAATCAGGGGAAACGGCGTAAGATGGACCGAGAGCGATGGCGCGGGCGAGAGAAAGAGAGAGGTGGTCATAATCGCGCAGACCGCGTCATAATCCGCGACGAAAAACATTTGACGAGCGCGCCGGGCTGGTAAAGGGGCAACGCGAAGTGGGCGTGGCACGGTATGACACCGCCCACGTGCCTGAGTTCTCCCCACTGTCGTCGGCGGCGCGCGGGTGGGGGGACTGGGTCTACGCGACGCGCGGAATCGCGCCGAGCGGCGAGGCGAGGAAGTGGGGGGTCCGCGAGACGAGGACGGAGACTCGCGTGGCATTCATCCCGTGACCACGAT